AGACAGAAGAGCTTTGATGGCAGGACTGTGAAGTACTTGTTCAGAGTTTTCAGGAGTATTGCAAATTCTGAGAATGCTGTCATCATGCACAAATGTATCTGTTTAGCCTTGATTCCTTTCCTCTGGTTGAGATCAACAAGTTGGACTTCTGCTAAGCCCTGGTCTCCTTCATCATGGAGGTCTGTGCGCATTAAGTTATGCCTGCGTTTCTTCAAATCCTATTGGAGCACAACTTTTGCATCATACGTCACCAGCAACCCTTGAAAGTTCCAAATGAGATAGGAGTCTGCAAGATTTGGCTAAACATATTTCTGAATTAAAGTATTTCCTTAAAAACAAAACAAAAATCATCTTCGAGTATCTTTAGTGGACAAAAAATATAATACACATAAAGTGAAATAATATTCAGCCATAAAAAGGATGAAATACTGTCACTGGCCAAAATACAGGATGTCCTACGTGCCCAAAGAATGAGCCATGAGCAAATGAGTTCTCTTCTTTTATGGTGCGCATATGTTGATATAAATCGTAAAATACTTTTTGGTGAAACCAATGATTAATTATTACAGGTGCTCAAATCTGGGAGCATTTTCTGGGAAAGGTAATAGCTAAGGCTGTTGACATTTCATCATTAGGGTTCACCTCAACATTTGGGAGTTTCTCAGTCTGCAGCACTGTTTCTTCTGAGTGCTTGGATCTGTCTGCATAAATTACTTTTTGTATTTAACAAAATTTATGTTTACTATGTGTGCCACTGTGTTGTAGGCTCTATATGATGTTCGATTTTCATTGTAGTTCTATTACAAGCGAGGCACTGAAAAAGTCACCTCTACTTATGAGGCCAGTAGTGGGGGGCAGGGTTTGGAACTCAAGCTTTTAACTACCTGCCTGTCACCTTCAGATAAGAGGAAAGAGATGTGCTTTTGCCTTCTTGCATTTGAAACTTGTTTGAAATTTTAAGATTATTTACAGATTTAGGGCCCATATTGGCCTGTGGCCCCCATTCTGTGGGTGCCCCTCCATTCCTTTGCATTTTATTGTGTTTAATTTATATAAATAGAATGGGTTTCACTTAATTGTATATTTTCTTAGTCCTGCTAGACTTTCTATAAGAAGCTGGCAAATAAGTACACTTGTTAAATAAGCAAAAGAAAAATGGTTTACTGCAGATTCTAAAATTGTTGGTCATTTTACACAAGGCTGGGGATTTCCCCCTCCATTTTGGAACTGTGTAATAGTTTAAATTAGCCTCTTAGAAATGCCTAATTGTATTCTAAACAATATGATCACTGAACAATAGGTCATAATGTGTTGGAATAATAAAACTCTGGGGGCAGTACTATTTAAAACCTAGAATATTCAATATTTGTGTATCTCAAGAGGAAAGTATGTAAACTACAATAAGTTCTGCCTTCACGTAGATAGAAGCATGATGTTTCTACTTGATAATTCCCCTGTTTTGTGGGAACTTTTGATTATTTGGAGTTATACTATTCCAGGCAATTCTCATCTATTCTGTTCACCTCAGTTCCTAATCTCTGATCATTTGCAGTCAGTACTCTCTAGAACCTTCACCATACACCCATCCTCTACCTTCTATGCTGTGCCCCAAAAATTTCCTAACTGGTCCAGGGCTTTTCTGAAATCCAGGATCCTTAGTGTTTTTTGATTAAGGAGAACTCTAGCCTTGTACTCAGTTCTATTTATCATTCAGGGATGAAGATTACTGTATAGCCGTGGTACATGATTTCTTCACTGAAATTTTAATGGACTAAATTCAACACATGGAGACCAATGCCCATCTCATTTTTGTGCTTGTATTTTGAGCAGTGAGCTTGCTTAGCATGGGAAACTTCAAGTTAAATTTTACCAGTGCCTGGGCTTTGTTTATTTTATTTGGGAAAGAGTTCACCATGTTTGGTTAAGTATGAGCTAAACTGTGTATTGTACTCATTTGCTAGGACCTGCCGTAACATAGTACCATAGACTTGGTGGCTGAAACAACAAAAATTTATCTTACTATAATTCTAGAGGCTGAAACTCTAAGACCAAAGTGTTAGGAGTGTTGGCTTCTCCTTGGCTTATAGATGAGCATCTCTTTCTGATGTGTTCACATGGTCCTCTCTATCTGTGACTGTCTTGTCTTGACATAAGTCATGTGGATTGAAATCATCCTAATGATGTCATTTTAACTTAATTACATCTTTAAAGACTCTCTTCAAATATTTTCCAAGGTACTGAGGATTAGGACTAGAACATAAGAATTTTGAAAGGATGCAATTTATCAGTAACAGGGCTTAAGTATGTGACATAGCAGTCTGAAGTTTTTATGATAAGTTAAATCAGTGTTGCTTAGAGCTGGCTAAATGATTTAGGGTAAGTTTTGAAGTAACTCATCTTTGGTCTGCATTTTTGTAATTTTTGGACTCAGTGACTTTTTAAAAAAAATTTATTTTGAAGGTAGTAAAACTACAGAAGAACAAGATAGAACAAAGCAGTGAAACTGGTACAGAACTTCACAGCAGGATACCAGGATAACAGTAATAGGTACCATAGTATATCTCGTTATCTTCACAATAGTTGTCCATTCAACTAGGTATAGCGAAATCAGACCAAACCAGGACATTATAAAACCAATCAAAAGAGAATATTGAATAGAGCATAACAATTAATCATAACAAAGCAAAACAGTGAAAAGAACATTTCCCTTCAAACAGAAGATAGAAGGAAATCCCCCATATTTGTATACGGTCATCCTCCCTAGAGATGCTCAGACCTCTGCCCCCACATGCTACTGGGAAGGTGAGGGACGGATGGGATCCTTGATTCTAATAGCCCGCGTGATGCTAGGCTTATGGGAGACATTGGCTGGTTCTCTGCCTGGCTCGTGCGGGATGCTTACCAGGAAGGGAGACGAATTGCTTTATTGTCCAGGTGCCTAAGTTCCACCATGGCCGGATCTCGGGACATGCTGACTGGTTCTTTTTGACTTTGTGACATTTGAAGTACCTTCTAAAGACCTCTGAGATTCTTGATTTTGTTTTAATAATTGTTTTGTAACTAGACTTCATTTACTGAGCATAGCTCCTGGAGAGGAATTTAATAATCTCATGCTAAAATCCTGTGTTTACCAGGTAGAATTCAAAAGAGGAGGCTTGTGAGCAATAGATCTTGACTTGGATTCGTCTTTTGGTTCTGTATCCAGGACAGAATTCTATCTTTTGGTCTCTTGAACAAAACAGCAGAACATCCTTCTCTTGGCATCTTGCCATACTGTGGCTGAGTTGTACATTAGGAGCCTTAGTTTCTCATCCATAAAACAGGGCAGAGTGGCTGGGCTCCTTCTAATCTTGTCCTTTGTCACTACTGCCTGCTGCTAGAGACACTGCCCTGCCATAGATGATGGACTCTGGGCAGCTGGTGCTGTGATAGCCTTAGTCTCCACCTGCTGACCGTCTAGGCCTCTTAGTCACATGCCACAGGGACCACTTGGGGCGTGAGACTGGTGGAGTGGACTGGGCTTTTATCAGTGTCTTCACCCTTGCTCGCCATGTGACAGAGCCCCTCTGCTAGGGAAGACTCAGCTAAGGAAGGATGGCTAAGTTCCAAATGTTTACTACAGACTTAATTTTTTTCCTACATTTGATAGATCCAAATAATTATCAAGAAACTCCTCATTTTCCTATGTCTTATCAAATGGTAAAAGTTTGTGGGACAGAGATGTAGTTTAAAATCACACAGCAGATTTTAAGATTATTAGACTTTAGTATAGATACAAATAAGTGCTGGACCTTGTGTCTACTTTTTCCCGCCCAGAGAATTACCCACCCAGATGACTCCAAGATTGAGATTGTTTAATGGAATAGAGGTGTGGGCACTGAGGGTGCAGCATGGCTTCCACATGCTTTGTTTAGGTTAAATTGAGTCTGCATCCTTCATGTTGGCATTGAATGTAAGTAATCTAGTCTTAAAGAACTAAAGTGATTTTATTATTATTAGGTTTAATACAACAATTGCTTTAGGGTAAGATTTTATTCCATTAAAATCCTTATAAGAAGTTGGCTGGAGAGTTCTTTGAATGTGACTAAAGATTCCAAAGTTCTACTTGGTTTGTTCATTTTAGTCATTCTGTAAGGTCACAAAAGTACAATGTCATTGGCAGTAGTATTTGACCTGGAAAAAGTCTCATAAGCTCATCCATTTACCACTCTTGGTACCTTCTCTTTCAGGTTTGTATTCATCAGAACTTTTTCAGTTGCAAGGGACAGACACTCAAGGTTAAGCTAGAAGGGGAACTTCAATTTAAGGGGGAAATTCCAGGGGTAGAAGTATCTCTAAAAGGGTAGATTCAGGGTGGTTATAGAACATTGTCAGAGATTATCTCTCTCTCTCAAATGGATTTATTCTCAGAAAAATAATCAGAAAAATGATTGTCAGGATCATTGAGAGTGTATCCTATGACTTTCTATTGGAAAAAAAAAAAGAGACTTTCTGTCTTCTTGAATCCACATATCAAATAGCAAGGAAGATTTTTATTGGTTCTATCCAAGTCACATGGCTGCCCCCGAAGTCATGACTGGCTGGTATATGGAGTACTGTGGAGTACAGCTTGGCCATGTGTACTTGGCCATGGCAAAGCATCTTGATTTGCAAGCCACTGGGAGAGGGACAGTGTCCCAAATGAGGACTTGATTAGCAAACAAAGCACATGTGTCTGGTACTAGCATTTCAAACCAGCTGAGGGTTAGTATTTATTCCTTTAGTTTATAGGGATTGAGAAGGTACCATCAAATAGTTCTGGGCCCATTTGAATGTAGTATTTTGCACTGAACATTTGAAATCTGAGATGAGATGATTTCATACAAAATAGAATATACATTATAGAAATAATCAAATAATACTAGTAGATTTGATGATTGCTGAAACTGATTTAAGCGAGTAATTTGGGGGGTGGCATAAAGAACAGAATCACAATAATGGGTTTCTTATTTTTTTGGTAGGCTTAGATGACTGCCTGCAGCCGTACGTCCACAAGTTTGAGCGTGAGAAGATAGATGGAGAGCAGCTGCTGCGAATTTCCCACCAGGATCTGGAGGAGCTGGGAGTCACACGAATTGGACATCAGGAGCTGGTGTTGGAGGCTGTCGACCTTCTCTGTGCACTGGTTAGTTCAGGAAAAGGTGATCTGTACTGCCATGACATTCTTTAGAACCGCATTCTTCTAAGTCTTCATTGTGATTTAGCATGTGATCATTTTCTTAATGACCCACTGAAGTGAATGTAGCATGTGTTGAAGATAATGGAAGAAGGAAAGAGAATAAATCACTTTCTGTATTACGGCTGGCAAACTAAGGCCTGTGAGTTAAATCTGGCCCACTGTCTACTTTTGTAAATAAAGTTTTATTGCAGCACAGCCTTATTTATTCAACGACATGGTTGGTGACTGCTTTTGTGTTGCAGTGAGAGTTGAGTCATTGTAGCAGGGACCATATGATCCTGAAAAGCCTGAAATATTCACAAAAAACTTACCATTTACCGAAAATGGCTATGATTAGTCTTATTTTCTTATCTTTTATAAGGAGTGAAAGGGTGGGGGAGACAATCCTGAATGGAAATGTCATGTCATCTTCTAAATTGAAATGAAAACTGTGCCAGTTTTCATGTCTGTTTTTTGTTACTAAAAAAAGAATTTTGAATTTCACAGATATTCATGCTGTTTAAGTAACTGATGTTTATGCTTGAAATAACGTAAGAAATGGCAGCTAGATGGGGAAAAATGTGACCTTTATTATATTTTGCAGATGCTTGGGTTTTGCTATAAGTGAGTGAATAGAATCCTGCCTGGTCCTGGTGCTTCAATATCACCTGAAGCTACCTGGGTAGTTCCTTTACATGTGGACTAAAACATCTGTAAGAACATTTTGTTTACAAATCAGTTGGCATGAGTGAGATTCACGTTTGCCCATCGTGGTGCCACGCTAAGGATGCAGTTGGACTGTCAGCATTTGGACACATTTGCCAGCATTCAAGTTGGATTAGTAATGTTCTGAACTCGAGCCAGGGATATATACAATTACATCACCGAGAATGGTGGGAAAAGATGGGCTTGCAATGATTTTGCCATTGCTGGTCTGCATTCCGTCCATTATATAACACTTGCCACATTGTGCGTATTCTTCTTCTTAAAATGGACAGAGCCTTGTCTTGTGTGCTGAGACGCACTGCTCTTGTTTAGGAAAGTAATGGGGAAATTATTTGTGGTTGATAAATGAGCTGCCACAAGGGAGACACTATGGCCAAGTGGTCTGAGTGTTGGCCTGGGAGGCAGGATTTTTACATTTGAATCCTGGCTCTGCTCCACGCTACTGCCTCTGTGACCTCCCAGGAAACAGTAGTATCTGTTTTCCCTATCTGTACAGTGACACTCACCTTTGATGTAGCTGTGTTCTCATGCATGTTTTTTGCTGCTAACGAACCATTCTGTTTTTTATTAATACTTATTTTTGTAGTCAGACATATTTGGGTTTACTTATATTATACTTTCCGGGAACATGGCTTTTCAATCTTTTCCTTGAGGTACTTTTTGCATTGGAATTGTCACTTTCACTTTGCAGCAATACTTTGAGGACAAGGAAATTAGTTTGAAATCCACAGTCTGAGAGGCGAGAAGAAAGGGAGCACTGAGGCAGATGTATACATGGTGGTGGCGGCGGGGGACACGACATAGCAGCTGCCCTGGGCAATCTTTTGGCTTGTTCCTCTTTCCTGCCTCTTAAAATATTAGACTAAAATGAACAAAGCTGGACAAATGCCAGAACCTGAAGCTGTGTTTTATCTCCTACAATTTCCTTCTAATTTCCTCTGCAGACCAGGCTTTGACCTCAGACTCACTCTGAACCTGCTGTGTATGGCAGAGGGGCCCAGGCTGCTTTGCACAGGAAGGGTCCCTTGAGGGTTGCACACCATTGGAGGGTTTTACTGAAATATCTCTGGTCTTTACATAACCTTCTTTTCCACTACTCTTATTTTAATCTACGTGTTAATTACCTTATCTATTCAATCCAGTTCCACATAGATCTTTGGATTTATAAATTAGTGATAACTTTCTACTATGACTAGTTCATCTCCTGGGCTGTTAATGTGTAACTGTGGTCAGCCCTGGTGTTATAAAAGGAGTTTCTATGTAAGCTGAGTTTAATGCATGTTGATTTTCTGGTGGACAGGAAGTGAATAGAAGGAAGAAGAGTGAATACAACAAATTGACTGGAAAGTTTTGGAGCAAAAGAAGGGCAGATGGAATGGACAGTGACCTAAAATAGGGAACAGCTATTGATCAGTATTTTAAAACTGGTGAGCAGTGGCTCATAAATGACTAGTCATGATGAGGCAGCCAGGAGAGAGACTGCGTCGTAAACATTGAGCCTGCTGGCAGAAGTGACTTTGGAGAGTGATATACTGTGTGGCTGTTTAAATAACAATTACTTACAATGAAATAAAGATGAGTTCCTCAGTTGCACCAGCTACAATGCAAGTGCTCAGTAGTCATATGTGGCTTGTGCCTATTGCACTGGACCGCTGATAGGAGCTTTGCCATCCCTACAGATAGCTCTGTTGGACAGCACTGGTTGAGAGTGTGTGGTGGATAGCAACAAAACATAATAGTGACCTGGATTCTTTGCTTGGTGAGTCAAGCCCTAAAGCCCTGAAGACCAAGGTAGGGATAGTGTGCTTTTAAAGTTGAAATAGTCTGAAAGTGAATGAAGTTGGAATTGCTACATGTGTTAAATGGATGCCACCTAGTTTATGGCTAAATGAAATAACCTGTAGCGAACCTATCTGCAGCTTGTACACCTTGCCATGCCCTTGAACGATGTTGTTCATCATTCACTCATGGCAAATCATTGAAGTTTTTTTTTCTTTTTCTTTGTCAGTGGGGAAGTATCATGCAAAACAAGAATCTTTGCCAAGAATTTGTATTTAATTTGGTTTTGCTTGAGAGCTTATCATGTGCCTCTAAGAAAACTGAATTATATTTCTTAGGTTGTCACTTAATTGACCTAAGTCAATAAAATGGCTTTGCTTGTGTGTCTCTGACACCTCTTTATCGTGTATGTTAGATTATGAACAGAGCCAGAAGAACTGAACCTGGTCTCTTTCGTTTCTGCCTGCCAAGTGTATTTCCCAGCCAGATCAGGCAGCGTTTCACTTAATGAACTGCGATCTCAATGGAAGTGTTTTAATACTTGTGTTTAGATTTTTTTCAGAGGCTCATTTCTTTTATTAACTTGGTGGTGGTGGTGGTTGTTATTGTTCTTCCTCTTCCTCATCTGCTTCTGTTTGCTCTGCTTCCTCTTCCTCTTCTCCAGAGCCTTTCACATGCTCTACTTCTAGGCAACCCCTGGCGCCTAGTCCATTCCTCTTAATGCTTGTATTAAATCAATGTCAGGAGGAGACAGGATTTAGGGGAAAGATTCATGAAAATAATCAAATCTAGTTTGAGAAATTATCATTTTTCATCTTTTATTGTGGGGCACTGAAGTCAGTAATCTTTTCCTGATTATATTTCTATGGCAGAGATTCTTTGGAGCTAGTATCATTAATTTCTTATTCTCACTGCTGTGGAGTAGAGTCAAAAGAGAAGGAAATATCCTCCTTCCTTTTTTAAAAAAACAATTATACTCAATTTTAGCTACAGCTTTCCACTTGCATAATTCATTTTGGAAAAAAATAATCAGAGCAAATTGTGTGGAAAATGAAGAAAATCTGTTAAAAAAGCTACCCTCCCCCTTTATTTTAGTATTAAAAGTGATGGGTTTATTGAAGATAGAGGTTTAAAATTTCTTGCAGGAATACAATGTATTTAATCCTTTTTATGTTCAAGAAGTAAATGTGTACAGGAATAAAAATTGGAAGTAATTTGTGGTGGCATTCATTGTAGAAAGCCAGTTTTCCTGCTTTTTTGAACACCCTTGATATAAGTTGGCAGGCTGAGTAATTGACTAAACGAGGGGACATTTTTCTCTAATCACAGTCGTGAGTCCTTCAAAACAAGCTGTGTCTTGTGGGCTCTTTATCTATTCACTTGTAAGTCTTTGATTCTTTGAATTTAAGAAGCCATGATGAAAATCCATCTTTTTGGTGTATTCTCTTTTGAAGGAACATATTATATTTTCATCTGTAGAAAATAACAGTGAAGGAAAAAATGAATACATGTGAGATTTAGATGGAACACTGCTGTTAATACAGAACACATTTATACTTTGAAATTTACAGTTCCCTTAAAGCTTGTGAAAGACTGTTTTCAGTTAGCTTGTACTTATACCCTTTCAACATTTCTATCTGAGCTTTTAAAACTGATGTTTTATTTTAGTAATAAGCAACACAAATTTGAACTTTAAATAAAATGTATTTGATATTAAATTGTTTATATTAATGCCAAAGCTTTTTTTGTTAATATTGTTCATCTTGTCAAAAAGAAGTTCTTACAAAACTCTTAATGTATTTATGCTTTCTTCATTTTTTTAAACATGATTCCTGTCTTAGTTTTATTATTGCTGAGACAAAATACCTGACAACCAAAGTTAAAGGAGGAAGGGTTTATTAGCTCACTATTTATAGTAGTTTCAGTCCAAGATTAGCTGGCTCCAAGACAGGATAGCGTGTCAGACAGGCATTGCAGAGGAGAAATAGGTCATGGTGGGCAGAACTTAGCAAAGCAGGCGAGCAAGGGACAACCATAGCCTTTCTACCCCTTGTATCTTATCCAGGCTACTTAGAGTAATCCTGGTGCCCTTGATCCTAGCATCACAATGTACCTTCATCCCAGCATCACACATTCTAGATCCAGCTGCCTCTGACCCCACCTGTGACAGCATGAGATTTTGGGGCGAGTGTGCCATGATAGTCCCTTTTTGGCCTAGATGACTGGCTGGATAGAACTAGCTAAATGAAGCTCCTAACATTTTAGAAGGGATAGAGCATGTCAGGATGTTGGAGCAACACAGCATATTGTGTTAGATCCAGGGTCACTGGCTACTTTTCCTTGTTTTTGTCTAATGTCTTTCCTTGTCCCAATCCAGTCCCTTGGCCCTTTCTTGGGCAGGGTGGATGGAAAGGGGGAGTATACAATATATTGATCCCAATATGTTGATCTGCTGGATGCAGATTGCCTTGAATAGAATCTTTATCTTACCACTGATTAACAGTATAACTTTGGGGAATTTACCGTTTCCTTACCTGTGAGACAGAGATAAGGTTGAATATCTCATTCTTAATCTGAAAATCATAAATCTATAGTGCTCCAAAGTCCAAAATATTTTGAGAGCCATTGAAATACAAGTGGAAAACTCCATATCTGACCTTGTGTGACAGATGACAGTCAAAGCACAGGCATGCTGAGTATACTGAGTGGATGCCAGATGCGGTGGCAGAAGCCTGTAATACCAGTCCCCAGGAGTCTGGGGAAAGAGGACCTGCAAGTTCAAGCTCATCTTGTGTAGCTTAATGAGCCTCTGTCTCAAAGCAAGAAAAAAAGGTTTGGGGATGTAGTAGCTCAGTACAGAGGCTCTGGTTTCAACCTCCTGTACCACTAAAACAAAACACCAAGAAAAATTAAAATTACCTTCAAGTTATGTATATAGAAACAAAAGTGAATTCTGTGTTTACACTTGGGTTTTATGTGCAAATATTTCAAAAGATAAAATACTTTTGGTCACAGCGCTTTGTACAGGTGTACTCAATCTGTACCCTTGTGAATGGTTTCCCTGAGATTAATATGTATTGAGTACTTCACTCAGTTTCTGACTTTGAGTTAATATCCAGTAATGTTCACTGTTATTTTATTCCTAGTTTTAATATGGTGTTAGGCTCTTCCTTTGGGATACTAGTGAGACAGTATATTATACCCCCAGAAATATCTTCCTTTTCTTTAAAACGACCAAACACCAGCCAGGAGTAGTGGTTCGTTCCTGTAATTCCAGCACTTGGGAGGCTGAGGCAGGATTGTTGCAAGCTCAAGACCAGCCTGAACTACATAGTGAGATTTTGTCTCAAAAAGACACCCCCCCACACAAAAATCAAACACTAATTTAGGACATGTATATAAGTCAATACAGAAATTCATACTCTGCCTCAGATATATGAGTTGTTTCATGGAATTGGTTCTTAATCTGAAAAAGAGTGTAGGGCACTGATGGTGAGCCTTTTAGAACTTCCAGTGACAACAAACAGCCCACTGTGGCAGCATAGATACACACTGTGGCACCATAAGTATGCCACCACTGGTGTAGGGCAATACTGTCAGGTGAAATTGAAGTTTTAAAAGCAATCAAGTATGTTGAACATTGTTAAAACAAAATAAAAGTAAAAACAACCACCAAAAACCCCTAAAACACATCAGAAGCTCCACAGAGAGGAATTATATTTCAGGTGAACTGACATTTAGCCATTATGGCTCTTTTCTGTGAGTGTTAATCTAAGATGACTTTATGTATCTGCTGTGAAATATCTTACCCGCTAAATTGGAAACCGTGTGAGCAACATACAGAGCCCTGTTCCCGCAGACTTTGCATCTCATGGGAGAAGATAGTAAGCACTGTGACCCTAAGAGGGATAGAAGTAGGTAATGTGCTAGAGGATGACTTGAGGCATGATTCTACTCCCAGGGGATGTGTGGCAATATCAGGAAACATTTTTGATTGTCCCAGCTGGGAAGGAGATGCAGAGGTGCCACTGATGATCTTAGAATGCATAGGAACTTCACCCCCACAACAAAATTAGCCAGTAAAGCCCAGGATGAGAAAGCCTATGATTGATTAAGTGATCACCAGTTCTCCCAGATAATATGAGGAGACCTTTGGGCCAGCACCTAAGTGTAAGAATTGCTGTCTATGCCAAGATCTATGCAAAGAGGATTTTGGGAAGAGGAGCCAGCAAGAACAAATTCCCTGAGAGCCAGGAGCCAGCTGTGGAAGGAGCAGAGAGAAAACCAGGATGGTGGTGGTGACTGGGAGGGAGTAAGCTCTCGGTGGATCAGGCAGGATTTTTTTGTGGCTCATAAAGTTATTCCAGTTACCCAGTGAGCTCATGAGTTACTGGGAGAGTTCAGAACTTGTTGATTGTTTTGAATTCTTCCCTTTCCTACAGAATTATGGCCTTGAAACTGATAATATGAAGAATTTGGTTTTGAAGCTACGGGCATCTTCCAACAATTTACAGAATCACATAAGCAGCCGGCGGAAGAGTCCAGCTTATGATGGGAACACATCCCACAAGCCACCCAATGAGCTGCTAACGTCGGTGGTGGAGCTCATAGGCGCTGCCAAGGCTTTGCTGGCTTGGCTGGACCGGTAAGTAGCCCACATGCGTTTTGCTGTGTTCCAAGAAGAGGATCTGAGATGTATCAAGGCCAACTCGATGTCTTAAGAAAACAAATCATTGTTCCTTTTGCCCCTTTTCACTAGGACTTAGGAATCCTGGATTGCAGGTGGATGTTAGGGTTCCTGTGGATGTTACTTAAAAGGTTAATAATGGGAAGAATTTAACCTCAGCTTGAAAAAGAGTGAAATTGTGCTAAAGGTTGTGTGCTACTGAGATTAAACATTAATGTTGGAGTATTGGTTGGTATGAAGACTTAGTTCACTTCTGAAGGGACATTAACTCTTGGCTCATTTTTGTATGTGTTTTTATCTAGCATATCTCTGTCCATTTCCTGTTCAGATTCCTATTTGATGTTTTGCTTGAAACAAAACAGTAATATAAAAAAATGATTTTAAGCTAGCTTATTGTGTAGCTATGCCTGCCAACATATAGTGTTGGGTCCTGGTGGATTCCTCCTTTTTTTAAAAGAGAATTTTTTGTTTCTTTCCAGGGCTCCATTTACAGGGATCACTGACTTCTCAGTAACAAAGAACAAAATCATTCAGCTTTGCTTAGACCTGACCACTACAGTCCAGAAGGTCAGTAGTAAATCATTATGGGTTTCTAAAATTGTCTTTTCCCTATTTTTTTCAAAGTGTTTCCATGAAGGTATGAAATACCCCCACCCCAGCTTTTTTCCATCAGAACTGGGGAGAGATGAAAGACTTTATTTTAGATGCATTATACAGTTAACTTCTGTGAAGAATGACCTGTGGCCTTTATCTTCTTTTGTTTTAAAATAGTTGGGCTGTCTTGTGCTTCCTCTCAAATATTCAAGCTTAATTTAAATAGAAAGGCTCGCTATAATCTTTGTTCTTGGTACTTTATTAAATGTGTTGATTCTGATCTTTCACTGTGACCTCTAGTTGTTAGATTTACCAAACACAGTAGGCTAAGTTACAAGGTCGTAACAACTTCTAAATGCCAGCAGTTTACACCTCATTTATATCCTAATGGTCAACTAGAAGACATGCTGTGATTCTCCTTATTTCTGGACATAGAATAACTAGTATCTAATGTTGTGTGTCCTCATGAGAGAGAGAAAAAGAACTTTGAAGGTTGCCACATCGATGTATCTTCTGGTCTGGAAGTGACACATGTCAATTTCACTCAGGGCTCATTGTCTGGTTCTAGGTATTTTAGCAAGAGCCCAAGAAATTTTATATCTGTCTTTGACTTACCTAGCTTCTGTGATACTAACAAAAATTGTCAGTCTGTCGGCACTGAAGACCACCTCCTGCCATATTACTTGGCATATCCAACACATATTTTTAATTGAATAAATGTGGTAAATTAAGAGCAAGTGTCTTTTTCCTTCATGTCATACTTGGTTCTAAAATTCTATGATTTCAAAGTTTGTTTCCACAGCTCATTTGGCAAAAAATAAAGAACATCTTTTCCTCAGTCCTGACTGTGGTGTAACAGAGATGCAATTGTGAAAAGCTATGTGGTCTCTGTAAAATGAGGAATTAAGTTTGGCTCTGCCCATGGAAAGTGTTTGAGATCCAGTTCTGAGCAGCCGTTGAATTTTAGGCCATGTACTTTTGAGACTATGATCTGAGAAAGGTGCCCAGAGCTATTAAATGGTTTGCTAAGTTTATGGTGCACAAGGTAACTTTGGCCGTCTTGACAGTAACCTTTACCCGTGAATCGTACAGTCTCGGAGGTCTTATGCTGGTGGTGGAAGGCATTTCCCTGATACTTTCCTTTAGTGCTCTTTTTCTTCCTGCTTCCCTCTTCCCATCATATTTTGCTTCTTCTTTTGATGGTTAGCCAATTTTACATGCCATCAGCTAAATTAAAGTGTTAGAGTGAACCTAGTAATTAGCAAGTCGGTACATTTTTCCCATAGGTATGCCCGTGCTTTCTTGTGAAGGGTCCTAGGTCATGAGCCTGACTCAGGCTGTCTGTGCTGTGGGGTAAGCAGAGGCAGGAAGTGACCAAGCAGAGGGCAGAGTAGTTGTATGTGTCTTCATAAGGTGACTCTGCTTTGCCTACGCAGGTTGATGTTTGGCATTGCAGGTAGTTGGACAGTTCCTTCCATAAATATTTACTAATTCTTACTCTTTTAGCTGCTAAGGTGCCAGAGTAAAGAAATGAATATAAAGTCCCTGATTAATGGAGCGTACAGTCTCTGGGATGGTAAGAGAACTAGGAACTAAAAACTAAGAACTAAATCACACACACACACACACACACACACACACACACACACACACTCTGGCACTATGTATGCACAGTTGTATAACATTAGGTGAGTGCTAAGAAGGAAAGGGACACTGGAAGGTTGAAAGTGAAATATAATTGTAATACTTGGTGACAGTCACCCTCATTGAGAAGATAATGATGGAGTACTTGGATCAGAAAAATTCTCTGCTCACTGTGATGGATGAGCTAATATATCACGTTAAGTGGTCTTTTCCATGGCTAGAGTTTTGATCATTTATGAACTGGTGTTAAAGAAAAAAGTCTTCCCATGAGAGGTGCAGCACTGATCTGGTCACATTAGAAGGATTCCTGCTGGGTACCTGTCACTGCTTACTGGTGGCTCACGATACCTGGTAGACAGTTAATGGTACACATTCTAGACTGCGTTTTAAGGACTGAGTCTGTATTTCTGATAAAGGAGCTGATAGAAACTCATCTTTTAGCAAGAGAAAGTGAACCCAAACTCTAGGAACACTGCAAGTATTATTAGTGTAGGTGTTCATTTTGTAAATTTTGCCTTGTGGTGCTTATTGAGGGAGTTTATAATAGGTATGAGGTAAGAGCATGTTCTTTTTAGAGTCAGTCATAGGTTTGAAACTTCTATCAATCTTTAGTCATTGAATAATTTAATTAAAATTTATGAGTCTCCACTCTATTTTCTCATCTGTAAGATGGAAATAGTAATATTTATCTTTCCAGATGACTTGGTAGGATTTCTACAAGTTATTGTTGAGTTAAAAAAAAAAAAGAGAGGAAATTAGGGAGAAGTAACGAGAAATGGTGACAAAAAATGTGTTTGTCATTATGTATTTATAATATACACATAGATATATATCCACAATTCTTTTTAAACTTTTATTTTAAAGAGAATAAACCAAAACAAAACAGAACAAAGAAAAGCAGAACAGAACAGTTTATGAAGTCATGGAATGAGCAATTTGGAAGAAAAATTTGATTTACTGCAGTAAAAGACAAAGTAGGAACCAACCAAAAATAAAATTAAAATAAATAAAAACATACAACAACAGAAAAGAGACAAAACATTTTCATTTACAGAAATCATATACATGCGTACATTTATGCAGTCATAGAAAATTAGGTATAGATAAATGATATCTGTTCATGTGTGGACCTGGGGATTGAACCTAAGCCCTTTTAGGCAAGTGCTCTGCCACCAAGCTTTTGCTCCAGCCAAAATACAAGATTTTTAAAGCAAAATGTCTCCTTCAAAATATTATTTTGGAGATTACTTAAACTATATCATATTAAAACCACAGCTCCCACTTAAAAAATTATACAAGAGGAAATTAAAAAATTTGCTCTGTATTGGTTTTTTGGAAGCAAATTTGATAGTCAAAAAGAATAGAACAAATAATTGTTCTTATTTTCTGAAAAAATTTAAATTTGAAGAATTTTTAAAGAATGAAGCTTGAAGATATTTAAGTATATTCAGTGGCATTGTTTTATGGGTTTAAACTCACAAGGATGTTTAGCTCTTGGTCAGTGTTTGTTTTCTATAGTAATGAAAGAACATGGGTTCTCAGCAGTTCTTCAAGGTAGGCTTGGTTATTGCCCTATTGTTTAGAGAAGGAAATAGAGGGACAGAGGTACTAAACATATTGCCTAATGTCTCAGTTCTTCAGAAGGTACATTACGGAATGGAAGCTGGGGGCAGGAGAGAGCAGCCAGGGCAGTGTTCCTGGCTGCTAGGTTAGGCCGTGACTGCCAGTCCAGGTGATCTGGGACAGTAAGGAAGCTCTGCCTCACTGTCTGACTCATGAGGGGGTGACTTGTTCCAGTACCTCTTTTCCATTCTGTTGCTTTATGCCAAACACTGTGAAGTCACATCGCAGCTGCTTCCTCTCAGTGAGGATGGGTGTGGGAACCCATGTTCACCATGGTGGGAGGTAGAAAGACAGCCCTTTCACACGCCAGTTGAATAGTTAGGAGGCAAACCTGCGCCTCTGTTGGCTCAGCTGCTACATCAAGGGCCATTTTCTTGGTAGCTTTTTAGATCTGTCAGAAAATCAAGTACTAGGAACCATGTGGTCACATCATGACCCTGACCCTTGAGCCTTAGTAAATTGAGAGTTCTCTGCTTCTAGGTGACAGTCTTTGAAGATGACAGTGCTGATAGCATTTTGTGATTTCTATTGAAAGATCACAGACACATATTATGAGTTATATTTCCATCATATGACCATATGAATATACTATTTTCTGGAGTTGATACTTACATGGTAGCCCTCAGTCAATCATAATAGGGAATGAACTGTTATAGTAGTTGATGACTTAGTTCCAAGCATAAGATAGGGTAGAAAGGCACATTTTTGACCTACAGTTGTTTGTATTTTATATAAGTTGCTCCTGGATTTTTATTTATATCAGATTCAAATACGTCAAAATTGCCAATAGGAAATTTCTCAATTTTTTCTTAATTGTTTTTCTTAGGCTACTCTTTTCTTAAGAAGCAGATATAAGTTTTAGGAGCAGTATAGAAGTTGCTATTATTTTCTACATTTTTATCTAGTAGAGACAATTAAAAAATTAAAACAGTGAAAGTCTGGTTAATTTTCCTATGGTAGAAGAAGTTGGTATCCATTCCATTCTCTTTGCCAGTAAATAAACAATAAACTATTGTTTATCTTTTTAGTTCAACAGAGGCAATATTTTGCATGTGTCTAAAATTCTTATCATTATTATCCTTAAGATTATCCCAGTTTGGATTGTGCTTACTGATTCTGGATAAACTAATCTGGCTTACTTTACTTCTGCACACTCCCTGCAGTGTGGGTTGAAATCTACAGCTATGGATGGTCCTTGAAGGTTAACTATGAATCTTTCACATTGGCAGTCTCACTTTGGTTCCTTCTGGACGGGACAGTGGTGTTTTCTAACTCTGTTCGTAGTGTGTACTGTGTCTTGGGTCTTTTGTTCTTAAGCTGAGTAAATAATGCTTTGCATTCCAGCCCTTTATATCAATAGCATACCTCAAGACCACTTTTTTGGCAGAGTCTTAATGAATGTTTTGTTAAACTTTTTTCATCTACCACAGACTGAAATATCTGATTTAATCTTAGTGCTGCTTAAAATAAACTTTTTGTGACTAAGTTTACTCAAGCCCTGTGGAAATCTCTTCTTATAAGGCAGGCCAGAATTTAGGACTGCTGGCTGGTTGGGCTGCTGCTACTTTAGCTGGGGAGCCATTGAACTTGGACTTCTAACTTGATACTGTGTTCTCTAAACAGTCTAGATAGTACATGGATTTCTGCTCAGGGATTTTTGTGGGTTTTTAATGAAATAACTGGTAGATGGGTTGCTTGAATGATAAGCTCCTTAGATAAGGAGACGAGCAGGACTTTAGGAAATGATAGATGTCAGCTTTGTTCCCATTCTGTCCCTCTCTCTCTCTCCACACGGGGAAGATGCTCATGCTGTGGGAGATGGGCAGGATATATATATGTCAAGGATTGCATGAATTCCTGGAAACATATATAAGGCTAAGCCAGTATTTTTTTTTTTTAACAAGTTTTCTCTTTCTCAGTTTCCATTTTATTTTTTCTTTAGGATTGCCTTGTAGCAGAAATGGAGGATAAAGTTTTATCTGTGGTAAGTATACTTTCTAAAACTTACTATAAAATTCCTTTTCCAAAGGTGGTGAGAATCGCATTAATTAAAGTAAATGCAGTATGGCTAATTACCAAGCACTGTAATTTCAAATATTTGCTTTTAGGATACAAGTCTATTAATTTACCTAAAGGAGGAAAGATAAAATTATTTAACAAGACCCAGAATCGTAAGAATTCTGAGTTTAAATTAGCTATTTTGCGGGTTTCTGCTTTTGTTTGCTTTGTTTTTTTTTTTTTTTTCTGAACAATTCATCAGTGTTTTATTGAACATAAATTGCTAGTTTAGTGTGCTAATCTGGGTTAAACTGATTTGCAGAGTTAACTTTAGGACCATTTTGATTAAAAAAAATTCTTGGCAAAATTTTATGATGTGGGAGGAGGGGTGTACTATGACTGTTTAAAGAGCATTTTGAAACTATTCATCAGCACTTCCTCCTTTTGACATAAGCCAGCCTGTGCTCTTTTGATAAGGTCTTCCTCCTACTGATGTTGAGAAATTTAGCAATGAAACTGCTATAAATATATTTTCCATAAATAGGCAGGCTAAACAAATTGGAGGAATGTTTAAAAAAAAGTGTCATTTCTTAGATTCTCCCCCTTAGAAAGAAAAAAAATACTCTCTTTGGAATTTCCTGATTTCATTAGTTGTTCAATTTTGAAAGATTAGATGGATTTGATTGGACCAAATAGGACCGTGGTTTTTACAAGGAGACCTCTTAATAGGTACTCTATCTTGTATCTATAGTGTTTGATCTTGTTGGTGTTTGGCATTCAGAAAATATGAACTATCACTAAAATGATCATAGGACAGGGAGATAGCTCAGTGGCACAGCACCTGCCTGGAAAGAACAAAGTACTGAGTTCGATTCCCCCCCCCCCCACCAAATCATACATCTAAATGCAAAAATGAAGGCTTCACATCTTCTAGGAGCTATCATAGGAAAAATTTAGACAGCCTTAGTAGTGAGTTTTTAGATTGAAAATCAAAAGCACAGTTCATAAAAAAGTAGATAATATGGATGTCTTTACAATGAAAAAGCCTGCTCTAGGATATACAATGCCAAGAGAATGGAACGACAAGCCACAGACTGGGAGAAAATACTTTCAAAACACTAAAGACATACCCAAAATATGCAAAGAACTCTTAAAAATAAGAAGATAACCTAATTAAGAAGTGAATAAAAAATCTGAACAGTCACTTTACCAAAGTAGACACTCTATTATGTATATGAAAAGTGGTCAACATCGTTTGTAATTAGGGAGTTTCAAATTGAAAGAATGAGATAACATTGCAGACCTTTGGGGTTGCTAAGATTCAAAACATTGACAACCAAAATGATGGTGAAGATCCGGCTCACTGCTGGAAATACAAAGTGGCACACGTTAGGGGACAATTTGGCATCTTCTTGCAAAACTAAATATGTTCTGATGACAAGGTATATACCCAGAAAAGTTAAAAACTTACATTCACAAAATTTTACACTGAACTGTACAGAGCATTTATAGCAGCTTTATTCATAACTGCTAAAAATTGAAAACAGTCACAATACCATTTCATAGGTAAATGGGTAGAAAAATATGGCACATCTGTAAAACAGAATATTATTCAGCAATTAAAAATGGACTATCAAGTCATGAGAAAATAAGGAGGAAGTTTAAATGCATGTTATTAGCAGAAATAAGCCAGTTGAAAAGACTGTATGCTATATAATCCCAACTATTTAAAATTCTAATCCCTAAGGTTTCTTGGCAAGGAAGTAGGAGGTAGATGATTAGGCTGAGGACGGGATACTTATGGCAGTGAAAGTCTATGTGATACTGTAATGATGGATACATTAGATTGAGCATCCGTCGAAATCCATAGAATGTACATCACAAAGAGTAAACACTTGTGTAAATTATAGACTTCAGTTAACCTTTCAGAAGGCATGGTTGATGTGAGAGATACAGACTTTTCTTACATATTATTAAGGGGTAAACATCTGATCTGTTACATTTGTAGGGTTAGTAAAAGTGTCTCAATATTGGTATCCCTTATGACAAAGAAAGGTGCCTTACTAGAGAAAGACTTGACTTTACTGGTGGAGGAAGATGGGCTGGGAGAGGGAGTATTTGGAAACACAGTATACTTGTTCAGTTTCTCTATAAATGTAAAACTATTTTAAAAAGTAGTCTATTTAAAAATGTTTCAGGCCCCCAAAGTTATTTTTTAAAACCTTGTTAATATTTGGTATTCAGAGAATGTGAGCTGTCATGCTTCCCCTTAACAGAAGAAAGAGTGTTGCTCATGGCTTATGCTCTTGAGGGCTTGGAAAGGAGTTAATATAAAAGCATAGCTTTTAAACAAAGCTGAACTAGGGGCACCATTCCCAAGACTGCAAATAGGGAGGCCCAAGTGCTTTGTATTCACTGAACAGAATTACCAAAAACGGTTGCTGACCAGTGCTAAAGGTTGTAAGTGAAGTGCATTTCTTTAAAACCCAGCTTGAGATAAAGCTGGTTAGCAGTTGCACTCTCCTGACTATTTGCTTCTCCAATTTTAGGTCAAAGTTTTAAATGGCATCTGTGACAAAACAATTCGATCTGCCACCGACCCTGTTATGAGCCAGTGCGCATGCCTAGAGGAGGTTCACTTACCCAATGTTAAGCCTGGTGAAGGCTTGGTAAGAATTCTAACGCTTGTTTTGTTTTTCAGATAATCATTTTTCAAATAATAACATACCTGCATTTACTGAAGTTTTCTTTAAATATTTTTGTTGCTTTTACTGTAATTCTGAATAGTGGAATTAAATTAGATTACTGTTGTACAGTTAGGAATTTGCGATCTTAAACTATGTTGATTTGTTTTTGTCTTCCTATATAAAAATAAATATAATTTAAAAGCTGTGTACTATCTTAATGGTTTTATTTTTAGGACTTAGCAATGCAAGGAAATATGAAACATTTACACAAAGAAGAGATGGTCTCTGGGTACAAAAACAACATCTGTTCTGAAAGTGTCTATTAGCACTTATGATGAAAGTGAGAAGAGACTGGGGAAGGAAATGATTCCCATTTAAAGTATCTTATAAGCCATGTGTAAGATATGACTCTGAGATATGTGATTTCTCAGTTTGCAGTATATATCCCATAGGATTAATCTGCTGGAATTTAAACAACAGTAGGGCCACTGAATTAGCTTAGAGCTTTTGAGTCAGAGAGAGCTTACACATGTCAGTTTCTTCCTAAGGCTGTTGAAAACATTGAATTAGATGGTAAATGACAGATGTCCAATGCTGAAAGCATAGAGAATGTCCATTAATTAGTGGCTGTAACTTGAGTTACTTATATTGCTGGTGATGGTGCAAATGATGAAGAGAAGGAAGGAGAAGAGGAGGGCAGAGGTGCCCGGGGTGTAGACAGCCATGTGGGACATCAGTAAGTCTCTAAGTCTCTCTCCTTAGATAAGAAAACAAAATCTTGATGTAGTAGTGCCGAAATCCTAGCACTCTGGAAGACTGAGGCAGGAGGATAGCTGTTTGAGCCCAGCCTTGGACATGTAGCAAGCCCCTGCCTGGAAATTTAAAAAAAAAAAATCAAATGCCAATATACTCAAATTCTTAGTGAGCAGAAATCTATATATGACACTTGGAGTCAGTGTAAGTGATACGATTATAACAGAGTGAACAGGGAGACATTCTGGGAAGTGAGTTTATAGTTAAAGAGGGAAGCAGATGGGTTTCCCAGTGCCGGTCATGGTGGGTTGCCCTTTCCCAGTATGTAGGTGTGGTCTGGAAAGAGGCAATTGCTGTGTGTGGGGATCTTATAGTTCTGCAAATGAACATAACCATTTGAGAGGAGTGGGAGAAACCCTGAGAGCCTTCGTGTCAGATGAGATTCTCTTTGTAGAGTGGTTTAGCTTACTGAGCAGTGCAAGATCAGGGTCAAAATGACTTAGTATTATAATCTAGAGACTGGGATGAGCAACTCTTTTTTTTTTTCTCTTTTGGTTCTTTCCCCATATTATAGTAGCTTAATAAAAATATTTTCCACGTGATTGTCCAACTGCAGGAATATTTCCTGAATGATACAGTGTTCACCTCTGACTTGGCCCACAGGCTTTTTAGAAGAGACAGCCTCATCCTCCTCCTTCCCTAAAAATGGAACACTGCCTGTTCTGATTTGCCAACTGAACTGTATTATAGAACAGTATTCATTTGTACATCCCAGACTGCCTTACTGTCGGCTTAAATAAGTGGCCCTACAATTACTGCTGATACCAAATTTAACAGACTGTATTGTGTCCCTAGACAAAGAGATGGTCAGAAAAGTAGAGTCCTTGTTTGAAATACCTCCTCACTTGTTGAACAGGTCTGAGAAAATTCCTACATCCTGAAGAGTTGTGGCAAATTTCTATGTACCCTGTACACAAATTATAATATCAAAGAGATTGCACATCTGATTTCTTTCCCTGAGCTTTCGGCTTGTTTAGTTCTCCTTCACTGGCCCTGGGATCTTGTTTCATGGGTGTTTCAGGAGGATTAAAAATGAGCATTGTTATGAAGGGACTGTACTGAATGTTTCATAAGTTCAAGTCTCCCTTGTGGCTCTTCTCTCTATGTAATGAGTTAATGTGTTTGTGATTCATTCTAGGGCATGTACATCAAATCAACGTATGATGGATTGCATGTGATTACTGGAACAACAGAAAATGTAAGTGTATCCTTTAAATGTAGAAGCCATTGTGTATTTAAACAAATTTGACACAGGCTTTGTTCTTTTCATTTAAATATGTACATGCTGTCATCTGTAGGGAGAAGCAGCGTGGGTGCCTGTTTTGTCTATTGATAGATTGCTGTACTGCTTATCACCAGCTGTTGTCAATTTATTATTTAAATTGTCTTTTATCAGTCCTGTTCAGATATCATGCTGAGTTTTTACCTTCACCCTTGTGTTACTTGTTACTTTTACACCATGGAAATGTTAAACCATAAATACATAAACACTATTCTCTTTGTTATTGTGAGTTGCTCATATAAAAAAAGGGATTGGTGGCTATATGTGTAAAATTTATTTTTTGTTTAACAGAAATTTTATGTGTCTCCAGAGTAGTCATTTTGAGTTTCTTGCATGAGCCAAATTCTTTCTGTAGTTACATTTCATAATATTTGTCATGATACTGAAATTGTCATGATGTTTAGTCCCGCCTTTCTAGTCCTTTGAATAGAAAAAGCAGGTCTGTTTCTACTGTAACAGACTTTTATATACTGTTTATTCTGGAAATTTTGCTGTATGTAGGAGGGTTCTTATTGCCTCAAGTGTTTTGAATTTGCAAAAAATGAGAGCTAGTTGCCTGTTCTTCTTGCACCTTACAGCATGGCCAGCTACTGAATGATTGAATGACCTTGACCTGAAGCTAAAAATGTTTGAATAGCTCCCCTCAGTCTGTGTAAAAGTAGCATGTGTCTGATGAATTAATTTATTATCTAAGAATTAAGGGAAGAGAGAATAACTCCAAAAAGTAGGAGAAATTTTGATGACTACTTTCTAATCTGTTTGGTGCAATGCGTGTCTCATTTTATGCTTCAATTGTTAGGTTTTTTAATCAAAGAAAGTGGCATAATGTTTCGGGAGTGTTTGAAATAGGTGCTTGATTTTTGATGTAAGAAAATGACATTGTTTAAGGTGATCACTGGATTATAAATCAATCGCGTGGTTCTTGTAGACAGGTGAGTGGAAGATAGTAATGTCTTTAAGCATTCTAGATTGAGACCTAACACTGAGAATCACTAAGAATTTTTGTACCATCTCACCTAACAGGTAATAATAACACAGGAAGAGAGCTTCACGCTTTTAGGTTAGGGATGGTGTTAAAGAAAAGTGCGATGCTTTGCATAATTCATGCTGGAGACTCAGGAGGCTGTGGCTCCACCACAGTAACAGCTTTTTCACGTACCACTGAGCACTTCATTTTGGAGTTGGGTGAATTCAGAAGGATAGAGAATGTCATTTCAGTTTTTAAAGAGTTGGAGTTTTACAATCATGCAATTTGGTGACTGTGCCATTTGATATAACCAGACATGGTTTCTAACCTTACCTGGTGTTCTTGAAGCAATTTCATTCCCGAATAAACACAAGAAACACTATAGCATTACCACCAGGCGGCATAGGCCCTTCTCTTCTGCTCCTCCCATTTTTGTTTTAAGATGAGAGATGGATGAGAGAATGAAACAAAATTGCCTTTTATTCAAATGCAATGTCAAATATCATCGATGATATATATCTTCCAAAAATCCTAAAAGAATCAGAATACTCAGTTGACAGCTCCAGGGTTCCCCTAGATGTAGTCCATTCTGGCATTCACATGTATGGACTGTATGGACATCATCCCAAAAAGAAGTTAACATGTTGCTACAGATTAAAAAAAGGCAGTGTGTCTTTTATCTATTAATCCATTTAAAATATCATTTATTGTTTCAGTCTGTCAGTTGCATTTTTGAATGCCTGACATGTGCTAGACACTGAGCTAAATCTTGTAGCTGAGGCTGGGAAGTAGGAAGAGCCATTTTCCTAGGGCTTAACCTGGATGTTTTATACTTACTTGTAGACATTTTATACTTAGGATTTCAGAATCAGACTGTTTTAAAGGATGAATGGCAGTGAGCAGAAGTCCCCTATTGCTTTCCCAACTGGATCATCTCCATGTCCTTCTCTTGGGCTCCAGACTGATACACAATTCCAGCAGACCATTCTCAGAGCACCAGTCTAGTTTTTTGGAGGTTACTTCAGAGGTCAGGATTGTTCCACAGTGATTCTCTACCTGACTTCTTTTTTGATGTAATTCTGAATCTGGAATGGAGTCATGACACTACCCTATCCGTATTCCTATCCTCCACTCTGAGATGAGGTGGAAAATAGATTAGCTTCTGAAGTGACGGCATTCTTCTTCAGGTCATCACCCTTCTGCAGCAAACCAGAACAAGCATCATTTTTCAGCAGTCCAACTCATAGTGAAGATAAACAGAAGTAACTGCCCTAGGGAGTATTGGTATCAAGCTCTCTCTTTACCAGTGTTCTGCCAATACATGACTCCTGATTGCTTGGTGGAACATTTGAGACATGAATGCATGGATGTCCTTAGGAAGGAAGTCAGTTGAGGACACGAGTGCTTGTGTTTTATGATTATAGGTCTATTAACCGGGACTTCTTGGCCTTGGGGCCATGTTTTAATAGTACCTAGATTAAATGACTCTGCTTAGAAAGATGAAACACACTGTGCTCATCAGGAACTGGGTTAAGTATCTGACACAGGCACAAAAAGCAGCAGAGATAAATTCATATTTTTTAGAAGAGTGACTCATAAGGAAGAGATTCTAGATTGACATCTCTCTCTGGTACCTGTGTTCGGAGTCTCAGGTAAGGCAGTGCTGGTTTTGTGATGAGGAACTGAGTGTTTTCAAATATAGCCAGCACTGCTAGCCGTGCCTTGTGTTGGCTGAGCCTGGATTAGGCAAAGCAGACCTTTCTGCAGTTTGGTGCTGCTTGTTCTTTTCTGGTGGAGCTTAGTATAGCAGTGGCATGAAAACATTCAGCCTGTTTCTTGTTGACCCTCTCCCCATATTCAAAGGTGCTCTTTTGTTTTAGGAGAGCTGTACATTGTTTGATGATTCTATCCATTTATAAAAGTTAAAAAATTAACTATTTTGACTTATGTAATATTTAATTGGAATCTCTGAAATCAAAGTTTTTTCCTTTCTCTGTCTTATATGAGAGTTCTTAGACATGAAGAATGCTAGGTTGCTTATTTCCACAGGAATTCTCTGAGCAACATAGTTGGCAAATGGATTAGAACCCTTTGTATGTATTTTTGTTGTTGCAAATTAATAGCAATGTACTGTTGGGGAGAAATAATGTTTGGACTTTGTCTTGATACTGAATGCTCATTCACATTGAATTTAGCTGGAAATTAAAGAATTATATTCATTTTCTTCAAATTTCTTCTTTGCTATCAACTTTCTATTTTAATAGCATTATGATAACATGTAAAGGGCTGTAGGAAGAGAAGATTTAAGTTTAATAAGGAAACGAGATGGCAGAGTTACAGAGATAATCCTTACATGTCAAACAGTATGTCAGCTTTTACATGATTAATTCTGACAGAGATATTTTTGAGACATATTTTTGGGTGATCCAATGACCATTTTTTAGCAACTGACCATTTCAGCAGAGTGTGTAGACTTTCCTTAGGTTAAATAAACCTAACTGTTATAACAGCAGATTATTTAATACAACAGACACCAATAAAATAGAGAACACAGTCTTTATATGCTGATTTCCATGGACTATGTAATCTCAAGAGACTAATACATATCTTATTTTTTTCTGAGAAAATGTTTATGTAGTTGCCTACAGAAGAAAGAACAGAAGCAGAAAGTAATAGAAGGTTTAAAAAACTAAAACAAGTGTCTTTATTTCTATATAGTCTCCTGCAGACAGATCTCAGAAAATTCATGCTGGTGATGAAGTCATTCAAGTTAATCGGCAAACTGTGGTGAGTTTGTTTCTTGAGGCCTAACTTTTCCTCTTCTAACTAAATCTAAAATCCTTTGGTTGAAATTTTTAAAATGTGCAATTTTTTTTAACAAGTTATACAGATTTACAGAAGAAAAAAAATGCGCAGTAGGAAATCACTAGTTAATGGATTACATATTGCCATCTTAGAAATAATTGTTCAAGTCACAAAATTAAAGCTTGTAGAGTGGACATTCCAACAATGATACTGCAAACAGTTCTGTTCAATGATCCAATAAAACTCTGTGATATCATTTTCTATCTTATACACTTAAATATACATGCAGTTATATAGTTTAGAGCACTTTCTTTTCCTCTCTTTTGTACAATGACTATTACACATTTTGGGTTTCATTGCTCCCACGGTTCTTATTGCTTTTTTGGAAGAGAGTAAAACCAAATGTGACATAACAGAACAGAATCGGTCAAGTCAAAAGGGTGGACATAATAGATAATATAAAAACATAATACAAGGTGATCAACAATGGTTACCATAATGCCTCCCGCTATCTCTAATAGAATTGCCTATATCATTAGTTGTAATACAATTGAACAAAACAGTAAAGAACAAAACCGACAAAACCAAAACATTGGAGACATTGTAGGTCTTCAAAAGTAGATAAAAGTCAACGAGAATGGGCGTTATAATGAATCTCATTATCTTCTCAGCTGATGCCTAAACTTTCGAACCTGATACAAATGTGCAATTTTTGTCTGATTTTTCTGCTATCTTCAGAAGTGCCAAGACAAACTTGTACGACCTGTTTATTTGCTCACAACTCTCATTTCCTTGCGATAAATACACAGACTTGATTTTTCTTTATTCATGAACAAGCCCACCTAACTTGTTACCTCCCCGTGTAGGTGGGATGGCAGCTAAAGAACCTGGTGAGGAAATTGAGAGAGAATCCCACTGGAGTTGTGTTACTGCTGAAGAAGAGGCCTACGGGTTCGTTCAAGTTCACCCCTGCCCCTTTGAAGAACCTGCGGTGGAAGCCACCTCTCGTGCAGGTACCTGTCATTTTTGTAGGATGTTTTAGCATCAGGGTGTAAACAGGGTCAGGACTTGGCTTGTCTCATAAAAGAAGAGAAAGCAAAATAAAACTCAGATTAAAATATGAAGGAGGTTGGTTTCAGGAATTGGTTTGTGTATGCTTATTCCATAATCCTGCTTGTATGAAAAGATAACCAAGGTCTGAACAGTGAACTGTATGATAGCTGTTAGGTAGATAACTGTTTGAAACAGTAAAATAATGCAAAGTTCAAGTCCTCCATTCAGTGCTGAATGACCACATGTCACTAGTGCTAGCACAGTGGACAGCCAGGTAGAGACATTTCCATCACTGCACAACATTCACTCTGGGTCTTCTGCCATTTCAGGCTTGTGTAACTGTACACAACCTCAGCACCATATATAGTCCGCATGGGGTTGAGTTCTCAGCAGCAGCGCAGAGGCAAGGGTGGAGGATATAGCCCAGCCAGTGGAGAGCCACATGGAGGCAGGAGATGGTGTGGGTGACATCCTGAACTTAGGCTCCCAACAGGCAGGGTGCTTTCTAGCTCTGCGAGACCACAAGAGTGTCCTAGTCTCCTCATGTTTCCTTACCATCGTGAGCCCGGGAAATATGCTCAGGCCCATATCATACTTTCTTGACCTCTGGCATGAGGCTGCAGAACATGTGCACCAGTTGCTTCGGAGGGACTGAGTGTAACTCTGAAGTCATTACAATGTCATTATCACTGCAGTGTGACCCCCCACCCAACACCATGGCCTTTGATAGCCATGCTGGTTGAGTCCAGGCTCATATAAAGTATCAGTAAAAATGCTCCCTCCTGATTTCTGTTAATTAGTCAGAGTTCTCTTAGGTGCTACCCCAGACTCCAAGACCTCAGAAAGGTCTAAATAAATACTATACCTAAGAACCGGCAGCAGATGGGACTCTGTGTCACTCTTTTTATCTGCCTGATCCTGACCTGTCGAATATACTTTCCTTTAGTGAGTCTTTGCATTTCTTGCTGCTTCTGTGTGTCCTACACAAATGTTCAGTTGTTTGTTTGGAATACAAAGCACATGGAGGTCAGGTGAGACTTCAGCTATTTGGTAATAGTATCTACCATGATTTATGCGTTGTTTGGAATTGCCAGTCTCTGGTGATAGTAAAAGGCAAACCATCTGGAAGTGATTTTTCCATTTACTTTCTCTTCAAACACTGCATGTCCTCCTTGTCTCCACGTGGCCTGTGGTGCTCACTGACTGCCTCTCCTGTTACAACCATTGCTCCTTAGTGTTACTTCCTAGCCACGAGGGTGATTTTAAGGCCCTTTTTATCAAAATTAATCTCTAAGTAGCTGTCTGTGATTTTATAATTTATCTTCACTTGGAATTTGTAGTGGTTTCGGACCATCAATGTGGACACTTTGTAAAGTACTATAAATATATCCAAAGTACAGCTCAGGAAGGCAGAAGTTAAAGAGCATGAAGTAGAGGGCAAGAATTAAACTCACTTTTCAAAGAATAAGTGAGCATACTTTTAATTTTCTAAAATTTATATACTACATTTAATTTTCTAAAATACATATACATTTATGGTTACAATACAGTATTTTGAAATATATATGCACTGTGGATTGGCTAAATCATGCTAAAATCTGCCCTACTGGACATACATTTTTCTTGGTGTGAATACTTAAAATCTATTTTCTCCGCAATGTTTGAGCATTTCATACATTGTTATTAAATATAGTCACCATGTTGCACAATAGAACTATTTTTTTTTATTTATTTATTTTTTTTTTGGTACCAGGGATCAAACTCACAAACTTATTTTCTCCTGGCTAACTGAACCTTTCTCTTTCAGTGAACATCTCTTCAATCCTCCTTTTTCCTGAGTTGATAATAACTATTACTCTGCTCCTTGCTTTTGTATTTGACATTTTTTAGATTCCACATATCAGTGAGATCATGCAGTATTTATCTTTCTGTGTCTCACTTCTTTTACTTGACCAAATGTTCACCACACTCACCCATCTGGTCACAAATTGCAGCGTTTCCTTCTTTTCTAAGACTAACAGTGTTCTAGCTTATGTGTACATTACATTTTATTATTCATTTATTTATCTATCAGTGGACACAGAAGAGGAGTCCATATTTTGGTGCTTTTGAATAATCCTGCCATGATTATGGGAGTGCAGATGTCTCTTTGACACACTGATGTCATTTCCTTTGGATATATGTCCAGTGGTAGGATTGCTGCATGATATGGTAACTCTAATTTTAAACTTTTGAGGCCTCTCAATACTGTTTTCAACTAATGGAGATACTGATTTACATTCCTACTAACAGCATACCTGGTTTCCTTTTCTCCATTCCTTCCCAGCCCTTGTTGTTTTTCTTCTCTTTGGTAGTAGCCACTATAGCAGGTATGAGGTGTTATATCCTTGGAGATTCGATTTCCATTTACCTGATCATTAGTGATATTGATCTTTTTTCATACACCTTTTGGCCATTTTGTATGTCTGATTTTACAGAGATGTCTGTTTAGGTCCTCTGTCCATTTTTAAATTGATCTCTTTGTTTTCTCACTATTGCATTGAGTTCCTTCTATATTTTAGATGTTAAACCTTCATCAGATATTTTGCAAATATTTTCTCCCATGATATAGTTTGTCTTTTCATTATACTCATTGTTTTGCTGTGTAGAAGCTTTTTAGTTTGCTGTAACCTGTTGTCTGTTTTACCTTTGGTTGTATGCTATGGGGGTCATAGCCTAGAAGTCATTCTCTGCATCTCAGAATATTGATCTCAGCTGCACTGTTTGCATTGCTTAGGCTAAAATTTAGATACATTTAAATTTGAATGTTCTTGACTTCTCAAAGCATGATCTCATCTTAGAGGTGCTTAATTCATTATAGATCATTGATGCACTGCCTACCACTTGTTAGCTCTGCCAGCTAATTGATGCACAGGAAATGTTGAGCTTTTGGGAAGAAGAGATAATATGGGCTGTGCTGCTGTAGCGTGGAAGGGTAGGTGGAAGCTACATTGGCAGAGGAGCATTTGTTCCGCGAAGGAGAATAATGCTGTACTTTAAACACTCTTACCCCACGCAGTGTGGGTGTGCTGCCTTAAGGGAAGGGCAGTGTCTTAGGTGAGGTTTTCCTGGAAGCAGCCCTGAGAGTCTTACAAAAGCAGTTTTTAAGGGTGTGTTTCAAATAAATTTGTAAGAGAGAAAAATAGGCAGAATAAGTGACCTCAGGTCAGGTCTAGCCTTAGCTGGCTATCCTGAAGGGGACCTGATATAGTCAAACAGCGGCTAGCCTTGGTAGCCTCCTGCTCAAGGGAGGCATATGTCCATGGAGCGCCACACTCTGGAGAAAGAGGCAGCTCTGAGCCTTCCGTAGCAACATCAAAGGCATTTAGGGGTGTCATGGTGAAATGGGGTTCTGGGTAGGCTCCAAGCTCTTACTGCAAGTCATGAGAACTCACACTCCCTGGAGATCCTGAATGGCAGGCTAAGGGGTGTGGACTTCGTCCCATAGGTGGCAGTTTGATTCCTGGTTTCACATTAGCATCTGTGTACTTTTCTATGGTCACCACAGCCAGGCATGGTGATACACACCTGTAATCCCAGTACTTAGGAGACTGAGACAGGAGGAGTGCCATGAGTTTGAGACCAGCCTGGGTTACATAATGAGTTCAAGGCTAGCCTGAACTATATAGTGAGACTGTCTCAAAATACCAAAAAGAAAAAAAAAAAAAAAATAAAGTCAAGGAATTGGCAGCCCAAATGCTTGTGCCTTAAGAATAGCTGCCTTTCTCCCCTCTTTTCTCACGTTCTTCACTTTATATCTGTATCCTAATCTATTCTTTAGGGGACACGAGTCATGCTGCATTGAGTCTTACTTGAGCACCTTATTTTAACCTCTTTAAGGACCTAATCTTGAAATACAGTTACATTCAAAAGTACTGGGATTACGACTTCAACATATGAATTTTAGGGGATCCAGTTGAGCCTGAAACAATACCAGAGCACCAGGTGGGAGACTGTTGTGTAAGTTGGATGTGGCCTGTGTGGCCCCACTGATGCTGGGGAGAACAGATGAAAGACTAACAATGCAAGAGCCTACTGGGAGGAAGCCTAGCAAGGGCTCACACAACAACCCAACCTGTGGTTATGAGGATGGTACAAGCTGGGGCACTGGAGCACAAATCCCAGCTCTGCCACTTGCTGGCAGTGGACCTCTGGCCAGGCATTGGATTCCCTGAGCATCACTGTCCTACTAGTGATGGCTTTAGGGGAAGCAATAAGGAAGGCCAGCAAAGCGAGGAAGAAGAAGCAGGTGATCAAATGTGATGGGCAACCTGGTGGTAATAGAAGCCAGGAAGGAAGGAAGGGAGGGCATCTTCAGTCCGATTGAGTCAGAGGAAAATCCACCTGGATGTGTTCAAAACATAAGAGAAGATTATGTTTTCGTAACAGGGCGGTTTATCTCTTGACCTCTGGAAGCTCACTTTGGAAGGGACACATTTCCATTTTTTCTGCTTTTGCCTACCTTCTTGCCAAATTTCACTAATTGCAATTCGTCAAGAGCTGATAGGGAGACACAGGGATACCTCATTCTGAATCTGACCTAGGGTGATAACTACCACAGAGGTCACTGTACAGCTCAGCTGTGAAATGTTCTCAATGTGTCCATGATATTTTCTAAATATGAACACTATTAGGCAAAGACTATAGACTAGTTCAGCCCCCAACCCTGGGCATTTCTCTGTCTGTCATTTTTCTGTGTTCTTTATGTCCAAGTGTGAGCCATAGAGCTATTTCATTCTTTTCAATATTCTTAGTATTGTCCTGTCACCGAAAGGACATTCAGTGATCATTCTGTTTTTAACACCACAGTACTATTAAATGAATGCTGCTGAAATGGAAGTTGTCATCTTTGTTGGAGTTTTTAGGGAATAACTGTTCTGTAGGAATGCTCCAATTCATTTTGCTTCCAAGGTTCTGAGGGGCTGAATCCTGGCCCTGAGCCTTTAGGTAGCGTCTAAGATGGCCATATGGAGAAGGTCATCATTCCATCTGGAGTGGAAGTGACAGATTTATGTGTTAGGGGCCAAAAGCAGCAATGTGGGGATTATGTTATAGGAGACTGAACACTGAGCCCCATCTCCTTGTTCCTCAAGGGATCTCATGAAAGTAGCTGTCTTTCTGTGACTATCCTGGAGCTGCTTATAGCTTTCTGACCCTGGCACTACCTCCAGTGCTTGGAAGGCAGCTCACGGTCCCACTCTGGTGGGAGCTTCTGTCATTGCCCGGGCAGACAGGCGCCAGGTCTAGCACAGTTCTCACTGGCCTTTGCCAAATGCTCATGTAACCTCTGTGCTGGCCTTTCACCAATCAGGAGAAAGGTTATCGTCATTACTGTTGTTCAACTGTACAAGAGTAAGAATGAAGGTCTCACACAAGATTTTAAAAACTGGTCACTTGAGACCACTAAACTCAACTGCAATTAAGTTGTATGGATTTAAAATGTTTTAATTAATTTGTGGTTTTGAGTCTATATCTATAGCATGTGTGTGTTACATGTGCATTTCTAAGTTAAATGTAGCAGAAGGTTGTATGTTCATCTATGTGAAAAGCAGTGTCCTCGGCCCTTTATGTGTATGGTGTCACTTACTTTTCAGAGCTAAGCTCTTGAGTACTATTCTTGCTTCCATCAGTTTCCTTTTTGCAGAGGAGGCACAGGGGAGCTGAGTCAGTGGCTCAGTGACATAGAACTAATCAGCAGGATCTGTAGGGTTACCCTGGACAGAGTGACAAGCTACCCTCCTTGTTTCTGGTAGTACTATTAGTGCTTTTCATGAACTAGATCCATGCTGCACCTATCTGCAAGCCCTATTGTCAGTATCACTGTATTGTAGAGGAGAAAAGGGAAGCATGAGTGTTGATGCTCCCAGAGCTAGAATTGTAATCTTGCCACCTGACTCCTGAACACCCTTACTTAACTCTGAATGTCTCCAAGAGGTGTACATGTTGAGTCTTCTCAGTAGCTGTAAGAGGTGAATGACTTCAGTCTCTGCTTTCGCATGGCGCTGGTTTTGAATCTAGGCAGGTGAAGTTGCACTCAAGATAGTCTCTGTGCTGACCTCCACTGTTGCTCTCTGTGTGGTCCTGTTGCAGACCTCATCCCCACCCATGACAACCCAGTCCCCCGAAAGTACCATGGATGCCTCACTGAAGAAGGAGAAGCCAGCCATCTTGGATCTGTACATTCCTCCTCCACCCACAGTCCCCTACTCTCCCCGGTAAGTCACTCCCATTTTCATGGTGTGTGCAGCTCCTGTGCATGTACATTCTGAATGGTGGTGTGAAGACCGCCCTCCCCTCCAGATCTAAGGGAGGAGGTTGCTGGGCTGCAGGAGGAGGGGATGAGTCCAGCAGGAAACGCACAGGAAATGTAGTGGGAGGCCTATGTTACAAGGCATTATGAAATTTGCTGGAAAGGGACCTTTTCAGAAAAGAATATTGAAATATTTTACTTCTGAAAAATTTACAAAAGTATGTGTTCCTCCTGGGACCTCAGAAAGGGCTGTTTGGAGAACTCTGCAGTTTCATGAACTCCATCAAGAATATTGTAGCTTGATTTTGCTGAGGAAGGTGTTCTTCCTGGCATTTTCACAAAACTAGATGAGGGTAGTTTAGTCTGTAAATATGTGTTTTTGTGTATGAGGGGTAATAACTTAAAGCTAATTCTTTCCTTTTGGCTATCTTAAATGTATATTGCACATTGAGAGTGGTCATACTGTTGGTACAGCGGAGATAGGTGATGACTTATGCACACTCTAGGCTTATTTATGTCAACTCACATATCTTAACATGATAAGACCAGACAGTCTGGATCATTTCCTCAGCATACACTTAATGATAGAGGAGTCTAGGTGACCACCAACCACAGAACACACCTGCGCCCCACAAACCTGCCAGTGTGTCATCCAGCTGTTTAAGAAGAAATTGAGGAATACGTGCTATATTTCATAAGACAAGTTCAGGCTGCATTTTTTTGTAGTGGCATTTTTCTCCACACTGGAATTTTCCATTGACTTGTTTTGAGCTATTTGTTTCTTTTGCGCTTCTTGCCTGGAGTCAGGGAAGATTCACATGGTTTTATGTGGAATGAATGACAGCATGTGGAGGATTTCCCCTAAGTGACCAGGGGCATTCTGCCTGTAGACAGCCCTCTGCCATGAAGTTACAAGCCAGAGTCATGTGGCCACAGCACCTGAAGGAAGTTTAAGGCTGCAAGGTAGACCCTGGCTGTGTACATAGCACAGTTTCACTGACAGCCAAGGTGTGGAGTGTTGTATCAGAAACTGTAGGGTGTGCCAGGATGTGGCTCAGTGGGAGAACACTTGCCCAGCGCTTGGGAGACTCTGAGACCCTGAATATTTTTCTCTGGGCCTTTTGGTAGGTCACAGAGTAAGGAAAAGGGACAAGGTGAGTGGGGCTTTTGACCATCTGGGGAGACTGTACTTGTGTATTCACATACACTCACATTAATGAGGGATATTTTCTGAGTAATAAAAATGCAAATGGATTGGAGAGAAATGAGTAGAGTCATGAAAGCTTTATGAGTGGGGAAGTTAGATGCCAGGTTAGAAAGTGGAGCATGAGATCGATTCTTGGATGAGAGGAATAAGAAGACACTGGGCACCTGGGATTGCTACACAGGCAGAGCTCATCAGGAGATCGCTTTGGGACTCACTTCATTCTGGGTTTGGTCCAGCAGTGTTTGTGGTGACTACCTAATGGAATTTTCTAAAGGCAAAAACTAAAACAAACCAAAAAACCCAACACAAACATCTGGTAGCTTGGATTCAACAAATACTAGGTTTTATTATAAACTGACATTTATATAGAATTAAGATGGAATCAGTATCCAGCTTTCTCCAGTTTCTTTACTGAATTCAGCAATAATCACTCTTCATTGGTTATTATAAAGAGCCCTTTGTATAGTTGGCATAATTTTCAAATCCAACTTCATTATGCATCAAAAGTCTTCTTTACTGGATCTTGGCAAAAGTGCTGCTTTGGCTTGAGAAAAACATTTCAATAACTCACACCTTAGTGTCTGATTCCTGTTGTAAATATGAGATTCAATTACAAGATTAAGCAAAGGAAAGCTAGAGCTGTGTTTGCCGAGGCATATATTTACTATTGAGACGTATGTGGAAAGTCTGCGTTTCCTTTGATTTAATAGAGTGATGGTGTTTGCTCTTTGTTAACAGGGTCTGTATATAATTTAGTAGTAATTAGGGTTGAATTAAAATAATGCTTTTCCTTCATTGGAAAAGGAGAAAGTAAATGTTACATGTGTTACAAGGAGCACGGGTCCTAGAATTGTTCAGTAGGAGAGAATGCTTATGAGCTGTGTATTTACTGCACATTGTTTTCCAGGGACGAGAATGGGAGTTTTGTTTATGGAGGATTCAGTAAGTGTAAACAACCACTGCCTAGACCTAAGGGTTCAGAGTCCCCAAATTCCTTCTTGGATCAGGAGAGCCGAAGACGAAGGTTCACCATTGCTGATTCTGATCAGTTGCCTGGGTATTCAGTGGAAACCAATGTCCTACCCACAAAAATGAGAGAGAAAACACCATCATACGGTAAGTTCCCTGTGTTTGTCTTGTTCTGTCGCTACCTTTTACTTCTCTTCCCCACCCCCTTCCTTGCTTGGAACTGATGGGTGAATTTGGCAGACTGATGGGGTAATCTGAGGAAAACATAAACCACAATGAAATTCTAAGTATGAGACCTTTATTCATCTCTCTCTAAAGCAAAGCCTTGTTGAGTCATTACTCTGCCTGGCATCAAAGCCCAGCTGGATGAGCTCACATTACAGTTTTAACTTTCAGGGCCTGGGTTTTAACTGTGGAATTATAGACCAAAGGTTCAGGTTTGGCATGCTTCTGTCCTAATTGCTATGGAAACATGGTACATTAAAATACTTTCCTTATTTTAAAACTTGTTATTGCTTCTGCATAAGTGAGTGTGTTAGTATGGGATCTAAGTTATAAATAAAGGAAAAGATTGTGTACAGTCTGCAGACTTACTGAGTTGTCTTCCTTTTCCTCACTCTGTAGGCAAACCCCGGCCTTTGTCCATGCCTGCGGATGGGAACTGGATGGGGATTGTGGACCCTTTCGCCAGACCTCGAGGGCATGGGAGGAAAGGTATATTTCATCTAAGCTGATTAAAAAAGTGCCATGCAAAGCCAAAAGATCCAGCTCCATGCCTCCATTCTGCTCCTAGAGGTGTTTACAAGAAGTGGAGAGAGAATTTAACTTTTTTGAGTGCCATTTGTCATGTGTTAGATTAGGCCTGCTAAAGAACTGTAAGATCCTGTTTAGATCTAGAATGGCAAAATTATGTAATCAGAGTTAGTGCTTGTAAATCTCCTAATGAACACTGTAGACTGTAGAAAGGCTGTAGACATAAATGGCTTGATTTTAAACAAGCAGAAATAAATTATTCATTAAATAATCTGATTCTAAGTTTTGTAGCTGTTAGTAGAGTCCATTTGATTACAAACATGAATTTTTTCCTCCCCGGTCCTTCTTGGGTTAAAGGATAAATAGTATTTGAGTAACTACTATCTGAAAGAAATATATGTTTCATTCACCCTGTAACCAAAGTTACTAGTTACTTGTCTAGTCCAGAGAGAAGTGCTTATGAATACTTATTTTTTTTTTTGCCAGATTGAATTTAATTATCATGGCAAGATATAACATTGCTTCTGCAGAGTTGAAGCAAAGAGCACTTGAAAAGTTAAATGAAGTACAATAACTCTTAGGTAGTAAACGAAAGTAAAAAAATTCTGGAGGCCTGCCCCTCCAAAGTGATCAGTCCTTCACCTCTACTAGTGACTTGATAAATTTTGCACTCAAGTACCTGTTTCACCTTGAATATACTAAAGTGACAGAGGGACAGGATGCCAGTCTGTAGTTCAGTATACCCTTAGTTACACATGAAAATTTGTGGAGCAGTCAGCAGGTGGCAGGGCTGTCCTTTGTTTAGAGTTAGAAATGGTAGCATCTTCACTGCCAGTCTTCTGAGTATGAATTTCCTTCTTTTATATATTGAGAGATGGAATATATTGGGGGAGGGTGAATGAAGAAAATGGAAAAAAGATTGTCCCTCTATTCTTTCTTCTGCATTTCTTGCCTCAGAATCTAAGGTATTTATCTGCATATGGCCATGTTAAAGGAGTAACAGTGTTTTGGGGACATAACTCATGTAGCATAGAGTTCATCTTTTAAAAATGTACCATGCATTTTAGTCTATTCAGAGCTATACCTTAGTCACCATGACCTATTTCCAAACATTTTCATCACCTCAAAACATTTCCGTCATCTTCTGTACTGTCACCAAGGCACTCTGAAATCCAGCCTTCCCCTGACAGTCACTAATTGACTTTATGTCCATTGTCTATTCTGGACATTTCATATAAATAGACTCATAGAATAGCTTTTTGACTAGCTTTTTGACAAGGAACACTTTGGAAAGGTGAGTTTTCTCTTTTGATTACAAAAGTGAAACATATATTTTAAAAAAAACATCTAGAAGACAAGAGAAAGTAAAACTTAGATCAAGCTTGGTGGCATGTGCCTGTCCTGTCAACTGTGTGGGAGGCAGAGATAGAGTCTCACAAACCGAGACTCAGGACTCAGTGAGGCAGTGCCTCAGAATTTGAAAGGGGTTAGGTGGGAATGTGGCTCAGTGTGAAGACCCTGAATTCCATTCACAGTAAGGCAAAAAAGGAAAGAAGACAAAAGTTGGCTGAAATGTGCTTCTAAAAATTAGGAACAATCACTGTGAATGTTTGGTGCATCTTCCAGTTCTTATATTTATGTATTACACACTGAAGAAAAACATGGAAAGTAGAAGAAATAGAGGTTCAGAAACGCCATGTAATGGGAACATTATCTAGAACATGTAATTTCTTAATGTAGCTGTAATAGTTTTGCATGTCTTTGCTGGAGCATGTATCTATTCAGTTTGCTGCTGCTGCTAGGTTATTTCTGTGCCTTTCCCCCTAGTATGAATAACATTTCAGTAAGCACCCTTGTAGATCTTTGCACATTTTGGGGAGTGGGATTTCCAAAGAAGGCCACATGTTACCAGTGTGTCCTGCATTTTACGTTTTGATTCAGTTTCATAAATATCACAAATTCCTTGGAAAGTTAGCTGCTGTATAAAGCAAGATCCCTTTTCTTTTCAGGAATGTCTCCGTAGTGCGGGACATTAAAATCTTTGAATCTTTGCCTGATGGCCCAGACCTTCCTAAGTGTCCCTGGACACATGATCCATGACGAGAGACACTGCCCTGGGGGCGCACACTTGGTGCTGCAGCTCTGAGCAAGAACAGCTGGGGAAAGAGTGATAGAGTCATACCTCTTTCTCTCTCTTTGTGGTTTTCATTTTCTTTTCTCCTGTGCTGAGCACTGAACTTGGGGCTTTCATACTGAGCTACATTTCCCAGCCCTATTTTAAGTTTTTAAATTTTGAGACAGGTTTTCCCTAAGTTGGTGAGTTACCCAATTTGGGATCAAATTTGTGGTCTTCCTGCCTCAGCCTCCTATATTGCCTGTAGGCAGGCTATAGCATTGTAGGCATGCACCATGCCACAGGGCACTGTCTTTGGTTTTTTATTTTAAGTGAATTATGAAAATTCTTCCATTGGTAAAGAAGCATAGGTTCTCTGGATCTGTTGGACTCTTTGTTAGCGCTTAAGTGTGAAAGCAGCCTGAATCATGTCAGACCTCTTTCTTCTGTTTTCAAGCATGAGCTGGGTGCCACATGCATGCCTGTGGCCTTGGTGTCTGTTTTTTCCCACATGATGACTTGCTGTGGATAGCTGTTTTAACGGACTCGTGGGCTTTGTCTGGACACAGGGGAAGATGCCCTTTGCCGGTACTTCAGTAACGAGCGGATCCCACCCATCATCGAAGAGAGCGCTTCTGCAGGATGCAGGTTCTCCAGGCCTGCAGCTGAGAGGCAGCTGGTGCGCGGTGCTGACTACATCCGTGGGAGCAGGTGCTACATCAATGCTGACCTGCACAGCAGCGCCACCATCCCGTTCCCGGAGGAAGGGACCAAGAAGAAGGCCGCCTCCGCGGAGCCGTCCCTGCTGGTCAGCTGGCTCACGCGCCTGAAGCTGTTGACTCACTGAGGCTGCCCGAGGGCCTGCGGTCGCCTGCTCTTAAGTGCCTTGTCCTTGGGGACAATCTCCCCGGACTTCACCGCAGGCTTCCCTAGTGACCTTGCATCATTTCCTTTGTATTTCCTAGAAAGTTGTGTACTGCCCTTCTTGGACCTTCATGATTGGATGGCAGCAGACCCAGGGGATCCTAGGGGCCACTCATGGAAGCAGGAAGAGGACATGGTCCACCCCTTCCAGGACAGCACGTGGAGGCGCATCTATACATTGGGAGCTGGCCAGACAGATGGTGGTCATTCTCCCGAACTGGCAACATCTACTGCTGTTGTTTTCTTGAGTGAGGGGACTCAGTTGGGTGGCTGTTGTACAGATATGTGGCTGTGGTCCACCTACCTGAAAAAGCCAGTTGGAGAAAAGATTTTTAAAGTGTATGTACCATTATTTGTAAGCACAGAGGCTTTGGCATGGAAAGGATACGTGGTAAGTGTGTGCTCTTCTGAGCAGAGGTTTAGGTGTGAATCTGTTCCATGTGGTTAATCCCCTTGCTTGTAAGCTTAGCCTGTGTCTATTAATGCAGAGACGCAGGAGCGTGTGTGGACAGGAAAGCAGTTTATGGTTACTCGTGAGAGGAATTGTCGTAGTCGTTATGTATTATTGTCTTTAAGGGAAAAGAAGCTATAAGATTTGCTGAAAGCCAAAGTATCATTCAGAAAAGTTAAAGCAACCAGATTTAAGTTTGTGAGAGTCACATCAGTTTGCATTTTTTGGCCTTTTCGATGTCTGTCTTCTAGAAAGAACCACAGCTCTTCAAAATTGGACACATGTTGCTAACTAGAAATGTCTTGGAAAGACTTGTGGTCACTAACTTTCAACTAGCTTCAGGTATTTGGAAAAAGTGCATCTGAATATTAACTCTTGTTTAAACTGAATGTATGATATTTTGTTAGAATGGAAAAGTACTATCTTGTTAATTTAAGTGTTTTAAATATAGTTGTATATTTTTCTTACTCTTAGTCACATGTAATTGAAATATTTGTTTTGCGTCATTTGCGAAGCTAATGAAACTGACTGTTGAAGGTGTTTTCAGATTTACAAGTGACCAACCTGGTGGTTACCAGTTTGGGCACTAATATTAAAAAAACAAACATAATAAAGCCGCCCAAGCATTTTGGGATTTTATGAATTAATAGTGGAGGAGCTGAAGGAACCATATATAAAGTAAAATTACAGTAGGGGAATTCTCCAAGGTATATTCCTAAGCATAACTGGTATCCCCTACTTTAAATACACTGTCTCACACTATGGAATTGTTTGTTTTGCTAACATTCCTGAAATTCAGCCCATGAGAAACTCATGTTGGTTAGTGAAACTCTTTTCTCTAAAAATCGTCTACTCTAGTGGGGTTCAAGGAGCAAGCAGTCACTCACGTGAGTGTGACTAAAATCACAAAGTCTACTGTCCTGTCAGCCTCGGAGGGAAGATAGTGTGTTCCATGGGGGACCCAAGTGTGCTATGCAGATTGGGAAGGAAAATCTGATGGCAAGATTCATTGAGTGCCTTCTGTGTGACAGGGCAGAGTGTACTCACAGGACACTGGTGGTGAGAAGGGAGCTGTGGAAAAGGGGAGCCTCGCTTGCTAGTTTTACTGTTCACTGAGCTGGCTCTGTGCCCAACAAGTGGAGTGGCCCCGCTGCGTTTTGCTCCTGGATTTAGGGGAGATGACTAAAAAGCTTTGGAGGTCTTATCTGGCATGGTGTCCCTTGTCTGTGGGAAAAATACCACTTGTAAATCGAAGCTGAATTTTCAAAACTCACTCTTAACTCTGTACAGCATCAAATCGTACTTAGACCTTTCCTGAAGCCCTGCGGGAAAGGAGGTCCGAGAAGGTTCTGACTTCATCTATCTATAGTTAGTCTCTTTAGTTTTGTTTTTATTTGTACTTTTAGCTGGGATCCTTTCCTGAATTGTGTTTGAAAAATATATTGCTGCTAAAAAAATCTGTACAAATCTATTTTTGAAATACGTAAGTAATAGTTAACATGAGTTTCTTAGAGATGAGTGGAAGTTGCTCAGTATTAGTCCAGGTTAATGGTGTACACATGTTAACATATGAAGATGCAGGATGAAATAATAATTTAAATCAGAGGTCTTTCAAACCTCCCAGCCCTATTTGAGTCTCACTTTTAAAAATAATAAATGTTTTATAACATCTCTTTATCATCAAAAGAAAATTCGGTGATAAGATATTCACATATAAAAGCAGGTAATAGAACCTACACCAATGTCATGTCCTAACTGAGACAGAAACAACTATAAGGATTTACAGCAACATTATTTTAATATGTAAATGTTCTGGCATATTATATTACAAGTTATGAAATAATGAAACAAGTGTGTATATGTGAGGTGTCATAAAAATACAGTGTTTTTTTAATATGGTGTTTTTAAATTAAAAGACATATTACAGTGAAAGACACGTTACCTTCTAAGTACTCTCCCTTGCTTCAAACATACCCCGCTGTTCTTGACACTTTCAAGCAGTTCTGGAAAACCTACTTCGTATCTTTAGTTGTCCTGTTATGACTTCCTCTATGTCCTACATTGCCTCAAACTGTTTACCTTCCTTTCATGGTCGTTTTGATGCTGAGTGCAAGAGCCAGAAGTTGCACAGTGCCAGACCAAGTGAATAAAGTGAATCACTGTCTTTTTATAAGCCTGCCTTTCTGTTGGATGGCACTCCACAGCAGCATTCACTGTATTTTTGATCATACCAAAAAGACTTCCAGAGCTGCTTCAGAACGAGGCAAGTGTGGTGGCATGGGTGTGCACAGCAAGGGGGGGTAGTCTGAGGGTGATGAATGGCCATGTTTTTACTGTAATAAATGTTTAAAAATGTAAACACTTGTAATTACTCCATATAACTAAGTACTGTATATATACATGTATATATATATATGTGTGTATGTGTATACACATGTGTGCATTACACATGTATATGGTAGCTGTATGTAGCACACACATATGGTAGCTATAAATGCAGACCAATGCAGACCTGCTTACATTGCTATTTGGTAACAGTATCCAGAGTGATGGTACTGGATACTTGTACCTAGACGGATTTTCTAAAATGTGGTTAATTCCTGATAAAACTCAAGACAAAACAGATGTCCATGATTGCTTCACTTACAGTGTTAGCTGTGTGCTTAGCAGTGTTTCCAGTGCTGTCTCCATGAGATGAGTACTGCTGTTTGCCTGTTGCACGTGAGAGGGAGTTATCCCGAGCCACACGGCTAATACGGTAGCAGCCAAGCTTGGAGGAAGGTGGAGTCTGGTTTTGACTTCTGTGCTCATCACCCCTGCTGCACAGGAACACTGATTGCATTCCTGAAAAATCCGAAGCATTTTGAAAGGGATCTAAAAATTCTCTTTGTATAAAAATGGAATTGTATACCTCATTTAGATATTTTTAAACTAGATTTCCATCTTCATGAGTATTTGGGGACAGTTGAAAGCTGTGCTTGTGTGTGTGTGTGTGTGTGTGTGTGTGTGTGTGTGTGTTCCTGTCCTTTTATTTTGAAAAAAGGACTCACTAAGTTTTCCAGGTTGGGCTTCAGTTCCCCTGCACAGAATCCCAAAGTGCTGGGATTACAAGCACGTGTCACCATTCCTGACTAATTGGGCTAATTCTTTGCAGTGATGAGTCTAATCTGTAGGGTTTCTGCAGTACCCCTGACCCCACCTAATAAATGCAGGTAGTGGCCTCCCATTACCCTGACCTCCAATATGCCTCTATTTCCAAAACTGCCTCTAGGGGGCTGTATCATCTATTTTAGAACAGATGTTCTGAAAGAAATCCTGTGTCAGTTTAAGCTGGATTACAATTTATATACTGTCCATTTCCTGTCACTACTTCTGTTTGTTCAGATTTTTTTTTACCCCACTAAGCTTTGAAATTTTAGAGTCTGTTTTGTGGGGTTTTGCTGTTTTAATTCCCCGTGACTGCCACTGGTACTTGTTGCCTCCTCTGGCCTAATGACCATCAACAGCCCCAAGTTTCATTGACTTCAAAAAATCTTAGGAGGTAAACACTTATAGCTTTCATCCCTCAAGAGTTGAAATAAATCAATCTCTGTGTAACACTGGAATTTTACCAGCAAAGAAAAACCTCACAGTGCATTTTACACAGTGAACATGAATGGGGTAGAGATTTAGGCCTCACTTGGGTGTTCTTAGCTCTTGTAATGTGATTAGTTTTCACAGACCACTGGTTCACATTTTCTTCCCATCCTTGATAATAAGTGCATGACATCATTTCCTTTGGGATGAAACTACCACAAGCTACTTCCTTGAAGATTATGTGAAAGGTGAACATGTTAAACAAGAATTGTTTGCATGTTAAAAAAAGAATTAAACTGCTTTTAGTATAGTCACACTGGTTTGGGCAGTGCAACCCGAGTTTATTAAATTTTGAAGTCACTGTGGCTTAATCAGCTTGTGTTGCTATAATAAAAATACAGTAGACTCCATGACTTGAATGTTGAAAACATTTCTCACAGTTCTGAAGGCTGAGAGGTCCGGATTGAAGTGCTGGCTGTATATTCCTAGGGAAGGTCTTATCTTTGCATGTAACAATCTTACTATAAGAAGAGAAAAAGAGAGAAGTGAGTACTAGGGAGCTCTCTTATAATCTCATGATGACCCCCTCCTTATAACCTAATTACTTCCCCAAAGCTCTGTCTCCCAGTGCCTTTATACTGGGACCTACAACTTTGGAAGGACTCAAACATTTAACCTATATTACTCTCCTTTCATATTTATTATTTCGTGGTAATCAAACAGAAGACAAAGATTTTAAAGTCTTTTCCTTTGAAAACCTGGCCTAGAAAATACTCAAATACTCACATTTTTGGTATTGGTTCAAATATATGGAAAACGTGTGGAAGGTCTTATATGATGCATGAAACCTAGTATGACTGCAGTTCATTTTTGGTGACTTACAGGGACTTCTTTAGAAAATAAACTTGGTAGGTTATGGAAATACCAAGACCCTATCTAAAAACAAACAAAAATTAACCCCTCCCCCCCACACTCCCAACAAAACAACAATAAAAACCAACCATAGACATGAGTTTTGGCACACACTTTAAGACAGGGATGAAGGGTAAAAACATCTTTCAACCCTCTGGGAGGTAGGGAACCGTGTTCAGACTCCTTTGTGGTTCAGACTCGTTTGTGTTTCAGACTGAGAAGTGATTGTTAGGTTGGGCTTTATTGTTTGGCTCCCTAAACTTGTAGGTTATGTAGCTGGAACAAAATCACTACTGTGAAATTTACCTTATCGTTATTTGGAACATTTTCACTTGCTGTTTTGCCTCAGGGGTTCTCTTTACTTTGGGTCAGAGTTACTGCTTGAAGTGTGCTGATTTGACAAAAAGAACTCTCACTATGAGTCTTAACATATGGAAAGGAAAATGCGCCACTTTCTGGCTCGCTGAAGCTCTTTGTTTTTCTCTCTTTTAGGGAGCAGAGTCCCAAACTGTTCATGTGCTCATGCACACAAGAAAATTTTCAGTACAAAGTCCTGCAGAGATAATGGTCTATGACCTTAGAGACTTAGAGAGAAGAAAGACTTTTTTCCATAACTAAGTCAAATCCCTTATGTGAGAGGCAGTAGTGGAGTCTTCTGAACTTTTGGGTGCACACTCTACTCCCTTTACAAAAGAAATATACCTGGTGCAGTTATAAAGTACTAGGTTCCAGGTGCATCCTGATTGTCCATCAGCCCTTTCTAAAATCTATTGTACCTTTGATAAAGGTCATCTTTTGAGCCAATTACCTGTTGTTTTACTCCTAATTGACAGCTGATGTAGGGATGCAAACACCTAAGGCTTCGTGTGGAGGAGGTAAGTGTTAACCCCTCACAGGCCATCTTGGACTTCATACCCTGAGGAAGACAGCTCCCGGCTTGAGCTCTTGATCATACTTGCATTCAGCTTCTTATACAGTAGTCTCCTTTTCTGAGCTTTGTGTTTTTTCGGAAAGTTGTGAAACTGAAGTTCTAGAAGAAAATTAAGAAATCAACTTCAAGGCTATTAAAAAAGGAAAAAGGTTAATTGCTGCTTGCATCTAGGAGTAACAATATTCTTGTTATTTTTCTCCCTTTGGCCAGAGCATTGCAAACACTGAA